GTCATCTGCTAAATTTTGCTCTCAAATATGTGGCTTTGCATTTCCATTAGCAACCAGGAGTCATGTTTGCATTGCATGTCTCATTTTCATAATTACTGCACTTCAGTTTGGGACAAATGCATGCTGTTGAACTGGAGTAAACTATAATCAAATGATATGGTCATGTCGAAGACACAGGCAAATAATTTTCCATCTAACTTTATTCATTACATTGCTCATTAAATAAATATATCAACAACGAATGCAAATGTATAATAACTTTATACATTTATTTATATTTTCATTTAACATAAAGCGCCTTACTGTATGTACATTGCATTCAATATTAATTGCACTGTAAAAAACGTTTTTAAAGTTGTAAATAAAGAAAAGATTATTGGAGGGGGTTTTACAAGAAAATACAATTTCAGTCTTTCTACTTGTCATGTAATGTTTATTTCAATGTTACTTGCCCATTATTTGTAATTAATAGTGAAATGTACTAGGTATTTCTAAGTGAAAACTGTTTGTACACCATTTTTTTTCAGTGCCATGTTTGAGCTACAGAAATAGATTTCCTAATTATATAACAATAAACATATTATTAACTTAATGGCATAAGAATACAATACATGCTAAAAAGTAACAAAAAAGTACAATTTTTTTTTTTTTTTTGTGTCTTTCAGTTATCAAGACTAAATCAGTTAAAGATGACATTAGTTAAAAATAGATTCTTAAGCTACCAATATTTCTTTTATTCCAAATTTTATATTTTTAACATTGTAGTGCCATAAAACTGAATAAATACTCTTGAAGTATGCAAATACTGTAGTACATAAATATGGTAGGGCGTTACCATATCAAATAATGTGAAACTTACAGTATCTGATACCATGGTACAGCCACTACTGACATATTTTACTGGCAGACAGGGAAACAGCTTTGAATGAAATGAATGAAAATGTCCTGTCATTTATAACAATGCAGGTAATTCATAACTGAAGTGAATGAGGGGATGTGACCCGATATGATCTCTCATTAAGATGCTTGCATCTGAATTCAGAAGGCTGTATGGCCTGTTGTGTCCCAGTGGACAGGTGCTCGGAAAGCGTGCTAATGAAACCCCTGAGAGTCCAGACGCTGCTCAACAGCTAACAGCACTTTAATATCAGATACGTTATGAATGCACAGCGATTTACAGGCCAGATTTTGAAGAATTCAAACTAATTTACTTTGTGGAACTGAAAAGGTGAAATATTGAAGGACAACCTAAAGAAGATTATTTGGGTTGATTCAGTCATGTTATATAGCTTAATATTTCTGACTTGACTAAAACCAGTTAATTTAGATGTGACTATTTTTAGGTTAAAGGGTTAGTTCACCCAAAAATGAAAATTAGCCCATAAATGACTCACCCTCAAGTCATCCTAGGTGTATATGACTTTCTTCTTTCAGACGAATCCAGTTGGAGTTATATTAAAAATTGTCTTTGATCTTTCAAGCTCTATCGTTGTACTCAGCGGGTGTTGCATTGCTTCAGTCCAAAAGAAGTTAAATAAAAAGTGCCCATCCATAAAAAAAGTGTCTCACACAGCTCCGGGGGGTGAAAAAGGCCACCTGTAGCGAATCGATGCATTTTTGTAAGAAAAATATCCATATTCAAAACGTAATAATCACTTTAATCTAGCTTGCGCTCACTGTTGTACACAGAAGCAGGTCCGGGAGCATGATGTTTGAGGTCAGCGTTACGCATGCGCCGGTGAGTCTCGTGAAAACCAACGTTTGTTAACAGGCGCAAAGGAAGCAAAGTTTCCTTACTTTAGCAAAGGAAAACCAGTCTCCTCTCGGCTTATATCAAAATCCTCCGACATTCTTCTTTACAAATCCTCGTTTTGTACTTCTAATTAGGTGACCGTTGTTTTGTTTTGATCTCTCCGCTGCGTTTCCGCATGCATCACTTCTGAGCGGCGCATGCGCAATGCTGACCTCATACGTCAACCGCCCGGAACTGCTTCCGTTTACAACAGTGAGCGCAAGCTACATTAAAGTGATTATTACGTTTTGAATATGGATATTTTTCTGTGTCGCATCGATTCGCTACAGAAGGCCTTTGTTCACCCCCCGGAGCCGTGTGAGACACTCTTTTTTTATGGATGGATTTGCTTTTTATTTAACTTCTTTTGGACTGATGCATGCAACACCCGCTGAGTGGCATTAAACAGCTTGAAAGATCAAAGACAATTTTTAATATTTTTTAATAACTCTGACTGGATTCGTCTGAAAGAAGAAAGTCATATACACCTAGGATGACTTGAGGGTGAGTAATTTATGGGCTAATTTTCATTTTTGGCTGAACTAACCCTTTAAGTGCACATGTCTGACAGACTAAAAATATGCAGTTCTTTACTGATAATCTTGGAGCTTGACAGACACATTCATTTTCATTTTATGGAAAAGAGTGGCCAGGATATTCTTCAAAAATGCATATTTTGTGCTCCACAAATGTAGGAAAATCATGTGGGTTTGAAACGCCATAAAATTAGGAACATGGTGACAGAATTTTCATTTTAGGGTGAACTGTGCCTTTAAGACAGATAAACACTCTCCAGTGTTTCTGTTAAAGAGGCTGTGTTTTTATGGTAACATTAAACTGCTGTTTACACCAGGCCACAATTTTCCACCCATCCCACTTCTGACAATCCAAAAATATACAGCCGACTATTTACACAGAACAATCAGTCGCTGAAAAAGTCAATGAAACATAACTGAGTGGGATCATCAGGCCATCCTATATTACATGTCCAGTCCTTTTATGTGAAAATATGAGCATGCTGTACTGAATTATCATGTATTTATTATTTGTCTTATTATATTTAATATAATTTTAAACTAAAAATGAATTTAGGTTCTTTCTTTCCTTAAAATTATTTTCCATCCTTTTAGACTTCTGTAATATTTGATTAAACTCTCAAATGCATTGTGCAATTTTTTGTCTTTACTTTTTTATAGTCACGACTATGAATTACATTAGGAATCACATACTGTAACGGACATATTTTCAATTCAAAATGTGAACATCACTAGCAGGCGAGTAGTTTGCATCCTTGGAAATGACTGTCAGTCGGTAAAACGTTTGGCAGCTTTCATCTCACCTGGCGCTTTTCCAATAGGCTTTTGCTGGAATAATCTTCTCTGACTGACCGTGTCAAAAGATTTGGTAAGTGACATTAAGAAGTGACATAATTTTGGTGGGAAAACAATAGCACAGACATACAGGCTGTATTATAGAAATAGTTCACCCAAAAATGAACATTTTCTGAAAATATACAAACCCTCAGGCCACTCAAGATGTATAAGTTTTTTTTTTTTCTTAATCAGGTTTGGAGAACTGTAGCATTCTATCACTTGCTCAGCAATGGATCCTCTGCAGTGAATGGGTGCCGTCAGAATGAGAGTCCAAACAGCTGATAAAAACATCACAATAATCCACAAGTATTCCACACCACTCCAGTCCATCATTTAATGGCTTGTGAAGCCGTTTTGTAAAAATCGACGCGTTTCAAAAAGGCGGAGCATAGAGGAGAAACAATAATGTACAGTATGTGGAAAATAATGTGTTTTTTTTTTACTTTAAACCGCATAAACACATTTCATTACACCAAATACACAAAATAATGTTCTTTTTAGCAGCATCATATGACCCCTTTAAGACGTTTTTAACTTCAAACCCTTTTTTGAAGAGTTGTTTACAAGCCAAAATATTTCAAAACAAGAATGTGGGTGGATTTTGATGTGAGAGGACAACAAGGGATGGACTTTTTCATAGAAGTAAGTGTTATTATGGATTATTATGGACCAGAGGTAAAGGTTTTTGAATTATTGCCATATTCTGATGGCACCCATTCACTGCAGAGGATCCATTGGTGAGCAAGTGATGTAATGCTACATTTCTCCAAATCTGTTCCCATGAAGAAACAAAGCCATCTAGGCCTACATCTTGGATGGCCTAGTAAATTTTTCTCATTTTCCTGTATGAGTGGAGTTGGTGAATTTAGTTTTTTTCCCTCTAAAAACAAACAAACAAAACAACAACAACAGCAAAAGTAATTTGGAAAATACCAAAATATGGTATTTCTAAATAGTTATAATCAGTAAAGTTTAATTGTCTGAACTTGATCAGTGTGTATTTGTAAAAGTATGCAATATGCTGATATTTAAATATTTTCTTAAATTACAACATATTATTATTATTATTATTACCAAAAAGGTCCTGCTTAACACAAACAACTTGTCTTTGAGAACACCAAATATTTAATCCATACATCCATTATCATTCCATAATTCCCATGTATTTGTTTATTAACGGAAACTGTGGTGCAGACAGCATTTAAAAAAAAAAGAAAAAAAAAAGAAGAAGTACATTGGACATCTTGTGAATATCTGAGCTCATTACTATTTTTAGTTTAAAATCAGGAAATGGATACTTCTGCCATCTAGTGGCAGGACTGAAGCACCTGCCCCAAAAACAAGTCAACCAGACTCAAAAAATGTCTGTATGTCACATTAAAGTGGTTGTCAACCTTTAGTAGAACATGTTCATAGCTAATGTGATTGAGGAGAACCTCATAGGTCCATTGAAATCTAAATAATTTATGTGGCTATGAGAATATAGACAAATATATTTAGTCTATTCTGGATTTTATCTTATAATTGTGAAAAATAGTTAACGGATTATTTTATTTAATGAATTCTATTTCATCTTTGAATAGTCATCTATTATCAATATGATTGTGTAGTTTGTTGCAAAGGACATTTTAGAACACTGGATACTTGAGGGCTTATGGTGGCAATTCTTTTTCTAAAATACAAACATCTTGCTAGATTGGGCTTGTTTTAGAGGAATCTGAGTGTGTTTAGTCCCTGATCACTACTTGGGAAAAATAGGATCAGGTACCAGAATTAGTATGTGATGGGACGCAAGAGGAGCATGTGACCCAGTCACTAATGAGATTAAACAGGATTATGTCTCTGGACTCTCGATGCATCTGCAGCAGGCTTGGTAGCAACAGGTTGGTCTGTGAACATGCCATCGGATAACCAAATGAAGCGAAACAAACCAACAGGTTAATTCCTAGCCACTGAAGTTCAACAGGGATCTGTATTCGGCTATTGAAGCATTCAACCAGGCATTGTGTCAAGGTATTTACCTGTTTCAATGTTTTTAAGAAAAGATTCCTCTTTCTCTCAAAGCCACAGCGGTTGGCACTGTGGTGGTGAGTCTTAAATCCAAACCAATCAGAATTTAAAGATTTAATATACAGAACTGCATGGCCTGTTGTATTTCACCTATATATTGCAGGCAATAGAGCACCATGTGAAATCTTCATAAAATGGCTACTTATGTACTGTGGTCAGCAGTTGTCTGGACTCTCAAGGGCCTGTTGTGCACATGGAGGTTTTTCTGGGTAATTATGTCCTCTTCATGTTAATACATTCTATCAATATATTCTAGTTTTACTGTATCGCTACACAAATCACTGATAAATCAAATCAAATGTTCTTTATTTATACTATAGGTCAGCCATTATTGTGCTCTAAAATCTGCACCATTAACACAGCATGCAGCTGACACTGACCATAAATTACCCTCCAAACTGTCCCCAGGTAAATCCTAACATCACAGAAAAAAAGTAATCGATCAATTATTATGCAAAGGAAGCAACATTTGCTGATTGTCTTTCAATTGCAATGTAAATGTAATGTTCGTACCTGTCCAATAGATGGCAGGCTAGTTTTGTGAAATAAGAAATAGTCTGTCAATATCACATTGCAACTTGCTTAAATCTACAAAATAAGAAGCCTTTTAAACTAGAGCAAAACAGTTTATATCTGAGTTTTTATCGATTTAAAGGGAACATGTACCCAAAAATTGACAATCTGTCATTGATTAGACACCCTCATGTCATGCAAAACTTTTTGTCAATACAGTGAAAGTAAATAGGGTTCCAAAGACCACTGGACTCCACTGAAAACATTCAGACATTTTTCATATCAACATTAGAAAAAAAAGGGTTTCGAATGACACATAAGTGAGTAAATAGCGACAGATTTTTCATTTTTGGGTGAGCTGTCTTATTAAGTGTACTCCATTATCCATATCAAAACAGAATCAGCATTTGCCAAAGTATTAATACTAAAGGTTTTTATAAATCTGTAGCTGTCCAGGATGTCAAGCATCTGGCAAGGACAGATGTAAATGCAGACTCAGAGAAGAAGGTCAAACCAGAAAACTGTGTTCAGCCTGAACGCACAAGTGGCCTGTTCAAGAGACTGCTAAAGGCTGAGGGGGAGATTCAAGAACTGAAGATAGAGATTGCAAATCAGAGACCATCATGGGAGATGTGGTTTGTGGAGCTGCAAAAGAGACAACATAATCTAAGAGACCAGGTATGCGGGTCTAATAATATTTCAAAAATGAAACCCATTAATTCATTATAATGAACCTGTTACACTATTGCTTCTTCTGGACACTTGTTTAATTTCTGAATGAATCAGCATTTTTGAACAATTGGTTGAGTGAATGATTCAGTGATTTTATCATAAAAACAGTCACTTGTTTCATTTCTGAATTAATTAGCGTTTTTGAACAAATCAGTTGAGTGAATGATTCAGTGACTCTATCATAAAGGCCGTCACTTCTTTCATTTCTGAATAAATAAGCATTTTTGAACAAATCAGTTGAATGAATCATTCAGTGACTCTATCATAAAGGCCGTCACTTCTTTCATTTCTGAATAAATTAGCGTATTTGAACAAATCAGTTGAGTGAATGATTCAGTGACTCTATCATAAAGGTCGTCACTTCTTTCATTTCTGAGTACATTAGCGTTTTTGAACAAATCAGTTGAGTGAATGATTCAGTGACTCTATCATAAAGGCCGTCACTTCTTTAATTTCTGAATAGATTAGCGTTTTTGATCAAATTGGTTGAACAAATGATTCATGACTAACTCATAAATACAGTCACTTTTTTACAGTGCGGGAACGGATATGATTTGAGTGGAACCTTTCTAACTTGTATTTTAATTGCGTGATCTTTTCAGCTGACCTCTGAGATTCTGGTAAGGACTGGAACACTGTACAGAGACATTGATTTAGAAGAAGCAAATGAAGTCTTTCTAGAGTCTGGCTTGGAGAATGGACTTAATCCTGAGGAGAAGGAGCATGAATGTTCTAGTAAGAGCTTCCTTTAGTGGACTGGCTGCCTTGTCTGAGCATAATTTAAATTAAATATATTTGAAAAAATGAGATCATCTCGTCCAACTTTCCACAGGTGGTCTCAGACACCAGCAAAAAGGACCTGATGTGGAACTGCTTAGAGATGGTGGCAGTCAAACCTTTTGCCCATCAGACTCCAGAGCCAATTCTGTCACATCTAACATCAGGTATATCGTTGATAGTGTTTTAAGCTGGACATGTTCATGCATGCCCTGCTCCTGTCATTGGAAAGTGCTGTCACAATAAAGTTTTCCAGAGAACTGTGTTACAAACAGAAAAATCTGACTGTGGAATGCAGTGCACTGACCAATCAGAAGCACATATTCCAGAGAGTTGTTTAAAAATGAATAAATCATATAATAATTTCTATTTGCATATGAATATAGTAAAGTGTTAAATTTTGTGTTAAATTTAAATTCCAATCTTAAACTTAATGTCCAATCTAACACCATACTTGTGCTTGCATTACCTCTTTCTTCAGTGTAAGGTCTTGGAGGAGTGGAGGGGGACCTCATCGAGTGTTTGTGCCTCACTCCCCCATGGATTTGAAGATTGGGCACAGGGTCCGAATCATGTTACCCTCTGGACGGATCAGCGCCGGTACCTTACGCTACCTGGGCAACATACAAAACTCTCCCGAATACCATCTTGGCGTAGAACTGGAGTTGGCTGATAATGGACAGCATGATGGCACCTATGAAGGACAGCGCTACTTTTACTGGTATGATCATTTTTCTTGCCTTCAGCAATTCAGATGATGGGAAAATTTGTGTATACCTTCATGAAAAGACCAGATAAGAATCTCCACAGTAAATCACTGATCTTTTCAGCAATGTAGGTATTGGATCTTTAAATATTTCAAGGTTATTTATAGATTATTATTTAAATATTTAATATTTTTACCAAATTTAGCATATCGAACCTTCCTGGAAATATATTTGCCTTTTAAGACAGTGGTTCTGGACCGCTGGACCCTCTATTCATTATCCAGATCCCTTACCGTCCTCATGAAATTGTCTCCCCATATTAAAGTGTTAGTTCACCCAAAAATCGTTCCAAACCCGTAAGACCTTCGTTCATCATCGTAACACAAATTAAGATATTTTTGATGCATTCTGACAGCTCTCTGACCCTCCCATAGACAGCAAGGATATTACCACGATCAACGCACAGAAACGTAGCAAGGACATCGGTAAAATAGTCCATGTGACATCAGGGGTTCAACCGTAATTTTACGAAGCTATGAGAATACTTTTTGTGCGCAAAGAAAACAATAATAACATAATTTATTATTTATTAGAGTACCCCAGAACGTAATCAACGTAAGGAGCGTTGTTTACGTTCAGCATGCGCGCGCTGTCTACTGAACGTAAACAACGCTGATTACGTTCAGCGAAAGCGTGCACATGCTGAACGTAAACAACGCTCATTACGTTGATTACGTTCTGGGGTACTCTCCAAAATGGCAGAAGACAGTAACTCGGGGAGAATAACTGCAGAATTATGTTATTATTGCTTTCTTTGCGCACAAAAATTATTCTCGTAGCTCTCAGATTTCATCAAAAATATCTTAATTTGTGTTCCGAAGATGAACAAATGTCTTACGGGTTTGGAACGACCTGAGGGTGAGTTATTAAT